AGCCCTAAATGACTCGTGTTTAGGGTGTGAGTGTATGTGGTGCATAGAAAGCCTGTAACATGAGAGAATGTGTTGGGTCTTGGCGGTAGTGTAGCTGAGTCCCATGATGAGGTTTTTGACTACATTCTCACTAAAAGTAAAGTCCCAAAAGTCTGAAAAATCCCCTTTAACTTACCACTTTTACTTAACCAAAAAAACGACTGTATCATGACACTAAGAAGCATGACTTAGCTGCCAAAAGGCGCATGGCTTAGCTATACCAAATACCTCAACGACCATTCCAAGGAAATATGTCATACATATCCTATTTGGCTTGCCTGCCTTCATTACCTAGTGCTCTATTTATTTATTTTTTGTGAAAACTACATGGAGACCAACCCCACCCGGTCAGCTTTCTCTCTTTTTTTTTAAATTATTATTATTATTATTATTATTATTATTATTATTATTTAGAATTTCCCCTTGAACTTTCTATTATCGGATAAGGGGAAATTCTGCAATTTTTCAAATTTTCTTTTATTTAAGGTGTGTCTAATATTAGAAACATCGAAAAACATTATGTATTGCACTTCTCAATTTTTATAATGTATGACAACCCAAAAGTCTAAGCTCCTAGGGTGTCTAATGTTGTCAGCATTGAACCGTCTAAATCTATTTATTTATTGAAAAAAGTTTATATAAGGATGCAACCTTATATAAGATAGTTTTAATGTTGAAAAACCATTTGATTGATCATCTCGACATCGAGATGTATGACCATGAAAAATAAAAAGAATTTAAGTCTCATAAGTAGTGCATTTTATAATAAATTATCTGCACCGTCCATTTCAAGATTTTCATATATTTATAGATCTACTTCATTTTAACCATTTTTTAAATTTAAAATTTTATATTTAGTTATAAAAATAGATTTTGAGATAATCCTAAGAATATTTTACATCAAAATTATATACCATGATAAAATTTGAAAGTGCACCTTACTTCTACAGCTACGGATCCATCCGTATGCCAACTGCACCCTTATTTATTTATTAAGCAGTCTGGTATTTGCAATATTAAATAGGCTCGATTCATGGCTTCAAAATTTCACCTGTCCTTTCTCCATGTCATTTTTCCTCACTCACTCTCTCTCTATCGCATAAAATTTACAAAAATATGGAAATTTTCTATTTTCGAGCAAGCTCAAAGTCAAACTACTAGCCTCAATGTGTTTAAAGGAATTGTATCCCATGAGATCATTTATTTTTGGAGATTATATAGACTCAAGGTTCTTAACGATCAAATTAGAACCCACATCAAAAATTTCACTAGAAGAGGTTGTCTTGATGCCCAAATATTCTCAAATTGATCATCTCAACATCAAGATACATGAACATAAGAAAAAAATGGACTTCAAGTCTTGCATGGATTTCAATTTTCAAGATCTTCATGTTTTCATAGATCTACTCGAGTTACACTATTTATTAAGCTTCAAATTTTATAATTAAAGATGAAAATATATTTTAAAGCTATCACAAAGATTTCTAGTATTGAGACCACATCCTTTATTTTTTGTATGAAAAAGTCATTGAAACTACATCCTTTATTTTTTGTACGAAAAAGTCATAATCACTTTGAACCATTAGATGTGAAATCCAATTGTCACAACATTCGAGAAATTTTGCAACACATCCTCAACTACCCTATTTAAAAAAGAGTAAATGACAATTGCCTTGTATCAAAAAGTAAATAGTTTCCTTGTATACATTTTGGCGTATAAAACACTTCCATTTACAAGTGAAAATTACATTGAAGAGAGAGAAAAAGGGATTATACTCACATGGTCAAGTAGAATAGGCATTTGATCAAAGAATATTGAAGCTGAACAATTAGGGAAAGTTCCAGTTGTAGGGCTCCACAAACAAAGGGTTACAAGCTGAATTATTTGGAGTAGGCATTCATGGCCAAATGTAAATTCGCAAACATCATCCGTTATATATATATATATGAAAAAATCTTAAGTATAAGCAATTTTGAGTAGTGTTTCACCTCGCTTCGGACTTGCTATGTCTGTGGTGATTTATTGAATGGAGCTGCAATAGACGGTGCGTGGTCCGTGGTGTTTCCAAGTGTTTTGTTACCGCCACAGACCTGCTAGGTCTGTGGCAGTCTTTAATCCTCGCCTTCCGATTTTAAGGTATATATATATATATATATATATATATATATTTCACTCCAAACAATGACTTAAGTGCACAAGGCAGAGTGAGAAAGGTTAAAAAGATACTCACATGTTCATCCTGCAATGGAGGCTGAAGCCGCACCTGAACAGTGGGCTTAAAGCATTGTAGCCTCAGTTTAGCACTCAAATGAAAAGCAGCATTAGGAGAAGAGATGATTGAGAAAGGGTGAGGAAAGTAGAGAGGAGGAGAGAAGAGAGAGAAATTAGGGCGAGAAGGAAGAGAGGAGAAAGGCAACTTCACCGCATGCATCATTTCCTTGAACATATTCTCAACACCAATTCCCCTTCTTATACACGTACATCCCCACATGGCTACATGCAGGAGCATGTGGGGAGCATTTCTACTATGTACTCCCTCGGGTCCACCTAATGTAGGAGTATTCTTGAAGGCTCAAATTTTGAGGATGCAATGTGGACAACTATCCACTGACAAGCTGTTTGGAAATAAAATAAAACTTACTAGAAACAAATATATAATGACATAAGTTGTTAGGAAACACACCAAAATACTGATATTTCTTTCTTGACAAGAAACCTAGCATGTGCTTGGCGAGAAACCTAGCATGTGCTTGGCGAGTGGAGAACGTAGGAATTTGGATAAAATTCTTTGTCTATGTGGAGATCAAGAGACCTTTTCTTTCTTTCAATTATAACTACTTGCTCTCTCATGACCATATTTGTCGAGCAACAAAGCTACTATCCAGAAATAAAATAATGTACAAATTTACTAATATGCACATCATATAATAATTTCTTAATTTAGATGTAAATATTTTTCTTCATAATTTAGGTGGGAGGGCAATGTTATTGGTGCCATGTATCAAGTTTCCCCGTGGTTTATTTACATAATCCAAAATTATATTGCTTTCAGGTTTGTTGGGTGTGCTTGTAAATGAAATATATAGTCCTATGTGAACCGTACTAAGCAAACGATGTTTGCTGATACTGAACTGTGTTTAACGTGTTAGGCCAGTCTAGTTAGGGAAAACCAATGTTATCTGGGCATAGAGAAACAAACCGATGAGGGTTAGATGGGTTATTCCTTGATGAGATCGGAGTATGCCTAGAAGAGTGAGCCGAGGGACTGTGTGACCTTTATGTGTGATGGAAGTCTTCAGAGATAAGGCGAAAACCTCATCATTTGTACCATCACACTACATCCACATTGATAGTCATTTTTAGTAAAGCGAACCACCATTCATGGTGAAGCATGTGCATGTGCGAGAGATACCCCACTATGTACTATCGAGCAATGGATTGCATCAGGTCAAGATGATATTGGATTCGTATCTAGAGGAGACTTGAAATCCATATCATAGGACTGCGACCTCTTGTCCATTGGCTAGACTTTGGTGACCCACTAATGATCGTTTACATGGACTATTGGTCATGGGCAATACTTCAATTTGGGAAAGCCTGTGTGGTTCGTAGTTTACACTCGGACATGGAGTGCCCCAGTGGATATTTATTCTTAGACTATATGGATCATTTTCTTATTTTAATAATATATGATTTTTAGAATTGCTATTTGAATTTTTTAAAACATAGATATTAATTTTATAATAATTTAACTATTCAAATAATAATTTTATATTTTTCTAAAAATAAATAATAATATAATTACATGGGAGGCTCAATAGGACACTTTTTATTTTTTGTAATCAAGCTCTCAAGCTTGAGAGATGGGTTTGTGTTGTTTTAAGAAAACGTAAGTCTTGAGGAAATTTTAAATGATATTTTGGTATGTATGAGAAGGCTTATGCATAAAATAAGAAAGGATAATATTATCATATATTAATTTTTTATTTGAATTAATTGATGAGAAAATAGTTTAGGAAGTGGGGGATAATGGTTCTAGCACCTTCTATAGGATGTTGATAGCCCATTTATAGAATGGAGAGCTCATATCTCTCACTCTACAAGTCACCCAAGATCAATGATGCATATTCATTCTCACATGTGGCAAGCCAAGAAAAACCCTAGGAAACCCTAATCTTGTTCAAGCATTATAAAAAAGGTTGTCCCCTACCCAAATCTTTACACCACAACTTTCCGTCTCTCTCTCACCCACAAAGGGCAGTACACCCACTCTCTTAGAATCTCTCTCTCTCTCTCTCTCTCACGAAAGGTCTAAGGCGAAAGGTCTAAGGGGCACGTCCCACTCTCTACTCATCTCTTGAGTTTCCCTCTTGCTCCCATGGTGTTTCTCTAATCTCTCATCTTGAGGTTAAGTCTATAGGGTTGTGGTAAAAAGAGAAACATATCTCTCAAACTAGGTTATCAAAAGGGGGTTCACTTAAGAGTTTGAGTTTTGTGATAAAAAAGGTTCATGTTTTATAGGGGGGTGGGGGGATGAGTAGCACAGCCTACCAAGGACACTTTTTATTTTTTGTAATCAAGCTCTAAAGCTTGAGAGAAAGGTTTGTGTTGTTTTAAGAAAGTTTTAATCTTGAGGAACTTTTAAATGATATTTTGGTATGTATGAGAAAGTTTACGCATAAAATAAGAAAGGATAATATTATCATATATTAATTTATTATTTGAATTAATTGATGAAAAATAGTTTAGAAAGTGGGGAATAATGGTTCTAGCACCTTCTATAGGATATTGATAACCGATCTATATAATTGAGAGCTTATATCTCTCACCCTATAAGTCACCCAAGATCAATGATGCATATTCAACCTCACATGAGTGACAAGCCAAAAAAAACCCTAAGAAAATCTAATCTTGTTCAACCATTATAAAAAGAGGTTGTCCCCTACCCAAATCTTTACACCACTACTTTCCATCTATCTCTCACCCACAAAGCGGGGTACACCCCAATCTCTTAGAATCTCTCTCTTTCTCTCTTAAGAAAGTTTCTCTCTCATGAAAGGTCTAAGGGCATGCCCACTCTCTACTCATCTCTTGAGTTTCTCTCTTGCTCCCATGGTGTTTTTCTCATCTCTCATCTTGGGGTTAAGTCTATCGGGTTATGGAAGAAAGAGAAGCATCTCTCACAAACTATGTTATTAAAAGGGAGTTCACCTAAGGGTTTAAGTTTCTAGATCAAATGGGTTCATGTTCCATTGGTGTGGCTTGTCGAAACTTATTTTTTTGGTTGAGATTGAAGGTTGACCATTAGATCTCGAGCCGTCAAAAGGTGGTGACCCTGTGTCGGGTGTAAGAAGCTCGGTTGAGGTAATCTCCGACACCCTCTTTTGTTTCTTGCTTATGTGTTTATTGCTTTCTTAATTTCCAAGTATAAGTTGTGTCTTTTCTTTGTTAATGGAAAGAGTGGTTTTGAATGCATCAAGTTCTTGAGATCCTAGTTGTATTCTTTCCTTTATTTCATTTGAATTTGTTTTATTGTAAAAGGTCTATTCGTAAGTAATCTAAGCTAAGCAGAAAAAATAAAAAGAGTTGAAAAAGAAGAATATATATATATATATATACTCGAGCATTATAAACTCTTAGACTTACTTGTGAAAATATTTTATCTTTAATCTGCATTATGTGCTTTATATATATATATACTCCGGCTAGATCACACTAGTTTTTCTTTCAAAGTTGACACCTTATATAACATTTTTTCTGTTATTATTTGTTGCATTTTATTTTAGTCATATAGATTAAATAAGTAGAACATTTATGCTAAAGTGACAAAAATAACATAGATGAAAAATTGCATGAGATCAAGACTACATGATCATATCTCTATCTCCAATGAGAATCAAATACATAAAGATAAGAATTAAATCCCATATTCTAAATTGGCAAATTTACAAATTAATATTTGCATCTCGTAATTTCAGTTAACAGAAAAATATTTACTAAGAAAAATCATTATTGAAAATTTTAGCAAGTATGGTATCTTTGCATATGCACAATGAAAGAATACATTCTCAACTTGTTTCAATTTTCTAGGCAACTCTTTTAATTTTCAATATTTCATCGCAACTTTGGCATAAAAATAATTTATGTCAACTTAAAATAAAATTTGAAAACTAAATTGTCTCTCATGCATTGCCTAGGTGGCAAGCCAGTAAAAAATCAAGGGGAAATATCTTAGGCTTAAAACATGAATAGGGAATATCTTTCTATTTCGAAGTTTTTAGATTCATGTGAATTTATATAAATTTCACCCATGACTCATTATCATCCAAACTTCATCGGATGGCCACAACCATCTGATAATGTTTGAATATTAATTTTTTTTCGACAAATCAGGATTATCTGAATTTTCGAGTGTGTCTATATCTAACCATCTCGAAAAAAACTAAAATATTTTTAAAAAAAAGTATAGAAAAAAATAGAAAAACAAAAAATCCTTGAAATATTCATTGAGGTAATATGGTCAATTTTACTATTCCTATTTTTTTTTATATATTTTATTAGGCGTGTCCCAGTGATGCGCACGTACGTTAAAAATTTGAGGTTAATTTAATTTTTATTAATTTATAAAAATTTAAATATTATTAGACTAATATAATTGTGATGAGATATGAAAATACTATAAAAATTAACACATGAACTTTTCTCCTTATTTTCGTAAGTGCAAATAGTCCATTTGGTATTTTATCTCAAACCACTTGGCACCGCCTCTTTGTCCGAACATGGCAAAGGCTACGATGCATGTACTTAACAGAGACGCAATAAAACCTGAAAGAGTATGACACATTTACTAATGAGAAGCTGCAAAACCTGGGGCTGTATATACATTTGTCAAATAAATGAAGATAATAGGTACAATTGTTGGCATAAAAACGTTATTGTACATATAAAATCTCATTTTACATCGTATACCAACGTCCATTTCACTTCTGAGTGAGAGAGAGAAAGAGAGAGAGATGACAGATTTTTCCTCAGAGGGAGTAATAGAGATGAAGATCGATTCATTACTTAGTTATAGAGCGTGAGGCTACCATTTTATCTTTGAGAGAAAATAAACTAGGATTGAAATAAGGAAAATTATTAGAAATATATCTTAAATTTTGTTTAATTGGAAAAAAAATCTCAATTTTTATAAACTTTTTCCACACTTTTTTTTTTTTTGTCAATTTTGGTATTTTTTTTATCAAAATATCTTTCACGATAATCGTATTACCGTGAAGGCTCTATCTTGATGGTACTTAACATGATGTAATACCTGGTCATTACGGTAATATGACTACCGTGAAAGTTATTTTAGTAAAAAAAATTATCAAAATTGAGGAAAAAATGTGTGGATGAAGTTTATGAGAGTTGAGGGTCTTTCTTTCCAATTAGACAAAAATTAAAGTATATTTATAATAATTTCCTTTAAAATAACTAACAGCTTGCTGCATGGTTTATGAATGGGCATGTCAGATGATAGATATTGGGCTTGGGGACCCAAATAAGGTAATCCTTATCCGTGCACTAATATGAGACTTTATCAACATGTGTTTGAGCATAGTAAATGATTGCAAAAGAAAATCAATACAATACTGGAGTATATATGTAAACCATGAGAGAATCCAGTTGATACATGGCACCAATACTTTTAACAATGTTAGATTCATGTAATCGACTCCAAATAATTAGAAAAAGACTTTGATGATGATATCTAAATGAAAAATATTATATAGAGGCGAGGCTCTAAACAATCAAATAAGAGCCCACCACAAAAATTTCACTAGAAGAGGTTACTTTGATACCCAAATATCCTCAAATTGATCATCTCGACGACAAGATTGGAAATACTACATCTTGTAACATATTTTTGGACTTTTAATTTTCAAGATATTCAAGTTTTCATAAATCTGCTCAATCTACTCTATTTTTTACGCTTTAAATTTTGTAGTTAAAGATGAAAATATATTTTAAGGCTTTCACAAAGATTTGCAACATTGAAACCATATTTCTCAACACTATTTGAAGGTGCACTTTATTTTGATTGTTTAGAGCCTCGGCTATATACAAACCACACTCATATATATGGGATTGTCTACAAAGAGACTTTTTATCTTTTGTACACTGAGGTCACATTAGATGTCAAATTGGATGGCTTGAGGTGAGTCAGGAAGTCCGAGATTTTTTTTTTTTTGGGAACTTTGTCTCTATTCAATCACATTCTTATAACCAACCATTTTGAAATTTTAAGGGACAAGAATGATTGTGATCTCTATATACAACAGATAAATAACATCTTTGTAGACACTCTTATAATTTTTTTAGGGCAATTATATGAGAGGACATTTGAATAGTGATTATAAGTTGCTCATGCTAATATGTATTATTTTAAGGTTGTGCAAATGCCTATTAGAAGAGATAAATATATGCTATTATAGATTATTTCTGGGTTGCGTAGATGTCTATTAGAAAAGATAAATACATAAAACTTCCAAAAATAAACCCCAACTATTTTATGTACATAAATATACATGCGTACGTTTCCAAATATAAAGGTAAAAGAGAGAGAGGTAGACCATCTTCTCTCTCTTTATTCTATAAAAAAATAACCCAAGAGATTAAACCTCATGCATTTTGTTGTTTTATTTCCTCAATCAAGCTCACCATGATTGGATACAAGTTAGAACAAATGTCAATCCCATTTTAAAAGGGATTTTTCGGGGTGGTGATTTTAGTGTCGGAGACTTCAACATAGATGCACTCCCCAAACTTCATGAGAGAAGATGGAAGTATAGTGGAACCATAATCTTTCTAGAATTTAGATTTATATTGAACCATCAAGAAGCAACATTATCATGTATAATATCCATCGGCCATCAAAGAGGAGGGTCATTATTTCTTAACAAGTTGGTGGGCTTGAATGGGCTCGCAAGGAGCTGGGCAGCCCACAAGGAGGCAGGTTGATTATATAATGGAAAACGTTTATATAAGGATACAACCTTATAATGTAGAACTACGGACGCACCTCAAAAATCTATCGAAAAAGGTAGTTTTAATGTTGAAAAATCTTTTGATTGATCGTCTCCACATCGAGATGTATGACCATGAAAAATAAAAAGATTTTAAGTCTCAGAAATAGTGCATTTTACAACATATTATCTACACCGTCCATTTTCAAGATTTTCATATGTTTATAGATCTACTTCATTTTAACCATTTTTTAAATTTAAAATTTTATAATTAGATATAAAAATAGATTTTAATATAATCCTAAAAACATTTTACATCAAAATTATATACCATGATAAAATTTGAAGGTGCACTTTACCTCTACAGCTACGGATGCATCCGTATGCCAACTGCACCCTTATATAATTGTCCCAATCAAACTTGAAAATAAAATAAAACTACCACAAATAAATAGATAATGACATAAGTTGTTTTGGAAACACACCAAAATAGTGATGCTACTTTATTGACATGAGAGTTCCCCTTTAAACTGAAGAAACCCTAGCATGTGCTTGGTGAGTGGAGAAGACAAAAATCTGTGATCATCGGACCTTGTCTTTCTTTCAAAAGGAAGCTGAGTAATCTTCTCCCTCTGGGGCTGGCTAGGTTTGAGAAAAATAGGCAAAAGTAATAAGACCATTAGCCCTGTCTCCAACTACTTGCTCTCTCATGACCATATTTGTTGAGCAACATGGATATTATCCAGAAATAAAATAATTTATAAATTTACTAATATGCCCATCATATAATAATGGAAAAAGTTTACATAAGGTTGCAACCTTAAAATGTAGAATTACAGATGCACCTCAAAAATTCTATCGGAAATGTTGTTTTAATGTTAAAATAACCTTCTAATTGATCATCTCAACATCGAGATGTATGAATATATAAAAACAAAAGGTTTTTGAGTCCCTGAAATAGTGTATCTTGCAATACATTATCTAGACCGTCCATTTTCAAAATTTTCGTATTTTTATAGATCTATTTTATTTTAACCCTTTTTTTTATTTTAAAATTTTCTAATTAGGTATGAAAATAGATTTTTAGAAAATCTTAAGATTTTTTTACAGCAAAATAACGTGCTAAGACAAAATTTGGAGGTGAGCCTTAATTGGATTGTTTAAGGTTGCAACCTTATGGAAAAGGCACCCATTGCATATTGTGTATTCGTAGTTATTATATCTCCTTGTTTTTTTATTTTTATTTTTTTTACTTTGGTTTAGGAGTTTAGCCGCAAAGTTTTTTAATTTCTTAGCAATTCTTTGTTTGCAAGACAAACTCTAAAAACATTTTAAAAAAATGCAAAATAAAAAGTAATGACAACAGCTTCTGTCATTCAACTCCATCCATGCCATGTCAAACGAGTCATGACTGTACTCGGCTGGGTTAGTTGAGTCCATTAAAATTGTTCGAGGAGAGTTGCTCTATTTTATCCAACTTGAGACTAATTAACGTAGGCGATTGTCTTTGCAAAATATGATCCATTTTTATTTTAATTTATTCCACCTTTTATTTGATTACAAAAGATTTGTAGATGGTTCTAAGTCCATAAAATAAAAATTTTCGACAATGTACAAAAAAAAAAAAAGGGCATGTGACTAGTTTGACAGAAGATTTTTGACGAAACAAAGGGCCCCTTTGGCCTGGTCAAAGATGGGCGCAACCCGAGTGGGGTCTGTCCAAAAGAGACTAGGCTGGGCTCGGGTCAGGATTCACAGGCCTAGCCTCTTGCCAGCGTATTTACATAATTTGTAGTCCGAGGCATGAAGAAAGTAAGTCTTTTTTACTTTGTGCAATGGCAGATTAGATGTTACATAATCAGTGTGTGTGTTTTTACTTTGTGCAATGCACATGCCATTTGTAGAGAGAAGCTAATTTTAGATTTGAAGAACTTTGTAAGGGTTTAGCTAGTTCCATAGAATTCGAACATTCTAATTAACTATACACCTCTCTCTCAAAGGATTATCATGCATAATTCTAAGATTTATTTACCATTTATGTAATCAGATTCTACATCATTAAAGCACCATTTATGAACTAATACACCACACAATATAGCCATATTAAGCAAGTGGCTTATAGAGAAAATCCATCAGTAGCTGCTCCAATCCTGGATCGGACATGCTGCTAAAGCCATCCGAGTTCTTGTAAATGAGAGCCATGGTTCTTCCAAAGTTTATAAGTGCACGAAGAACCGAGTCAGGCACAACTCCTTTCAACTCAAACAGTTGCCACTCCAATTCTCGATTGCTGGATTCGATCAAACCCTGCAAATGAGCCATGGCTTCGGCCTTGGTGCTCCCGGGGTAATCTTTCATGAAGCATCCAATGCTTGATGCCATCATGCCTAAACGCTCTTCCCTCTCTGAGGTGACAATGTCATTGCTAAGTCGGCTAATGAGTCCAATGTGATAGAGAAATCTTGAGCATTGACCCACCAACCGTAGCATCTCGTCGGAAATGACTTCTCCTATGATGAATATCGGACTCAAGGCAGTGACGCTGGTAGAAACGCTAAGGTTAGCCACCATTTGATACTCCTCCAAGGAGGGTATGCACCCTGAATGCCTCCATTCTGCTTCCTTTCCATGCAGTGACGCCAATTCCTCCCACTGATAGGAATGAAAGAAAGAAAGCAAATACAGTTCTAGCAATGTTTTGCGGTCTAAAAAACAAACATGAATCAAATGAAGCAAAATGTATCTCAACATGAAAATGTCTTTGTTCTTTGAATCTCATTGTTCCCTAATGCTCGACAAACATGCTAAACACTCCCTTTGGAGTGTGTTTCTGGTACCTTTACTCCATAAGGAAATAAGCTCCATAATTAGGAGAATACACATTGAAGTACATCTGATCATAGTGACCCATAAATGCTATAAAACTATCTAGCTGTTTGGTGAATTCTCCAGGAATGTTCAGTTCCAACATAAAGTATATAGTTGAATAGTAAATGTCATCAAGTATTAAATTTCAAAAATTGAATGGTCATGTTTGTTATATTGGTAGAATTTAAAAAATGAACACATTTTTTAGGATTCTGGGTCTTTCAGAAGGAAAATGAGCTCAGCATAGAACGTTATACCATGCATTAGATAGAGTGTTTGTCAAGCTTTTGAACAAACTCTTTTCAATAATAATTCTTATGTGCATTTTAGTAATCTAAAATGTTTATTGCAGTAGAATTGGGACAAAACCTAGTGATCTTCGATAAGTTTTCAGCAAATCATGAAGTGAATGCTCAAATAAGTAGGACACCTTCATCTACGATCCATCTTTTCTGATTCACCAATCAAGTAGTCTAGTTTTTTGTTTCCATAGAGAGGGAGAGGGACATTCTCCGGGATGCGATCTAAAAAATCTATGATCCATCTTTTCTAATTCACCCTCGTGGAGTTTGAAACAGAAATGGTATTCTGTTTCAGAAGTTATAAACATCCATCTTCTTATTTATAAACATCACAATACCTTGAAGATTTGTTCAATGAGGACATCTCATGCCTCTGTATCCAAGTGAAGCACAAGTTACATTTATTTGTGTTTGTCTAGCTTTGCATGTTGTTCTGTTTAAGAATAGAAGATTTTTGTCTCGCTAAAATTCTCATCATGGTTAATAGAATTCTGATTGTAGTTAACCTTGGAGCTTGATGCCCATTGATCTTTACAATTAATTTTATTCCTTTTAGCTGCTTCACGCAATGCCGAAAACAATTATACCTGTTGTTAAATGTTTTGACCATCCTTAATGGTTTTCATTGTCATTTACTGTTTTAACCACCAATGATAAATTTTACCATTATTAATAATTTTTACCATTATTATCTATTTCGTCACTGTTAACTGTTTTCACTAACATCAACAATTTCCAATGTTCTAAAGCGTTTTCACTGCCATTTAACAATTTTCACCATGGTTAATGGTTGAACTAAGTTTTCCATGACGATAATTTGGGAGCTTTAAAGATCTTCCTGTTAGCTCTTGTTGCTCATTTCTACTGATTGTTTTAGATATCTATTTAGCTTGGAAACTAATTTCATTAGCTTTGAAGCTAAAAAATCCTTCATTCTGACTTTTTGAGATCACAAAACCAACAAAATAAGTGAACATAGAATATTTGCAGTGTGGAACAAGGGCATGTATTTGTTATGTGCAAAAGCCTAAATGCTTGTAGTGGTGCTTTATTTGTATCTGTGCCTATGCATCGTACCAATACACGCATGCATGAGCAAGTAGCCATGCATAACTATGCATCTCTGTGTGTTTGTGTATGTGTGTGTTTGTCAGCACTAGTATTTCTAAAATGATTATGATATAGAGTCAAGTTGTTGTTTAGCTTGAGTAAATATGATTACCGGTCCTCTTATTAAGTGAATGACATTGCGCCCTTGTACTGTGCGTGATTCTTCAGCGACATTAGTAATTGCTGCATTGATGCCGTTGAAGAAAACACCCATATGTTTTGGTAGACCGCTGAGAATTGAACGATCCCATCTAACATCCAAAAACAAGGAGAAGAATAAGTACAGATTAGCAATGTAAGGACAGAAAATAGGAGTTTAACCTTCAGTATTAATTCATTGTATTTTGATTGAGATATTTCTTTCTTTACAGAAGAAGAAGAATTTGTATTTCACATTGTCAAATCATTAGTCCAAAAATTGCTTTTCATGGAGACTGATATTGCTACTTTGTAGTTTGTATGTGCCTGCAAGCATGTTCTGCTCTTTCTATCCAAAACACGCATGAAATTATCAATTGGATAGGCTGGAGTTCCACCCTTAGGCATCGGTTTTTACGACATAAACATGAGGAGAATCAGCAATTCCCCTTTAACAATAAACTATGGCATTTTAAGTGGTTATCTACTACATTTCTCTACACTTTTGTATTAGTGTGGTAAATCTAAAAGGAATATCTGGTTATAATCGAGTAAAGAATGAGTAAGATTTTGATTGGTTTATTTATTTATGAACTCCCAATTGCTTCTGGACTAGGAATTAAAAAAAAAATTCCCACTAATTTTTTGGTGAGCAACTTGCCAATTGATATGATTAAGATAGAAATAATAGTTAAAAACAGTTATAAATACAATAATTAAAACATGGTTATAATTTTATCAAGTACTCTGCTGTAGACAGCCTTATATTGATGATGCCTGAATACTACATTCCCTATAAGTATAATACGGGGTAAGCTGCGAACTATCCATCCAATCTAAGAGACAATGGTCGATTGAGGTCAGCCATTGTTTCTTGGTGGAATGTTGGTTAATTACCAGCATCTGTTGATATGATCAAAGTGGTTTGCCAGTCCGAGGACCCCAAACAACACTCATAGAGAGTGTATATTCCCATATTGATTAGGAATATAGCCAAGTGTTAGTATAATGTAGTACCTATGGATTGCCTTAGTTAAGAGCCTCAAATCTTCAGGGCAGTTGCTTTTGAGGTCATAGATGTCGTCCATAAGAGCAGCCATCATCCCAAATTTCGTGTACTCGACCCGGAATTTTTTGTATTCTGGTTCATATATGCCAGCTGCTACAGTGAAATAACTCTTTACAACCCCTTGTCTTGCAAATTCAATCTTCGTAAAGCCCGCGTCTTCCCACCAACTTCATTGAATTGAGAAACAAACAAATTCATCATCATCATTATAACATTCTCCCAATTAATTGGGGTTGGTTAAACAAACATTTTAAAAGACAAACTTGTTGCTTTAGGAGTAAACTAGTTGCTTAATGAATAGGGTAGTATTCTTGTTAAGAGCGCAAGAAAATGTATGAGATATAAGTAAGTTATTGAAGAAGATGGAGATATTTGGATATTTGTGTTAGGGAATAGAGCCTTAACACTATGCTCCTAGTTTCCATTTAACAATATCACCAAAAAAGATGAAAAATCATAAAATTGGAATACCTAACTACTTCTTGGATCTCTTCCGCATAGAGCATCTGTAGAGAATTCAAGTCGAGTCTTGCTAACTCCAAGTACTTGTAATTGCTCTCATCACCAGGCCACAATTGCTCAACAATGCTTCTCGACTCCAATCTTGAAAGAAGGTATTCCCTTGGGTATGCTAGGGAAAATTCTATCTGTTAAAATTGTAAAGAAAAGTAGAAAAATTGAGAGGAAAACTTAACTGAATCAACAAAATATATGATTTATGCAAGGAAATTGTTTTGATAGGGCTGCAGCCCTAACAAAATAAGTAAACGTACCTTAAAACGTACTAAAAATTGCAATTTTTGCAACAGAAAACCATCAAATCAATCATCTTGGCCTTGATCATTTTGGTTGTGACAAACATAGGATTTCAAGCCCTAAAAGTAATGTAAATTGTAATATGTTATCTAGACCGTCCATTTCACCCTAAAAATAAGTGTCCCAGGATCCTTATAATTTTCACATTTTTTTAGCTTCAAATTTCATAATCGGTATTGAAAATTAATTTTAAAGTCATCATGGAGATTTGTGATGCCTAAAGTACTTTTTGAACAAAGATTCAAGGTGAGGCTTTACTTTGTTTTTATAAAGCTCAGGCCTTATAGAACCTTCATCCTTTATGTAATGAGTAATAAATGACCCTTGTTTTAAAGCCTGTGCAATGAATGACCCTTTCCTTAGATGAAAAAGAAGTATATCATTATAGTGCACACCCATCCTTAAATTCTAGAGGGTTTGGGCTCTAGGCTTTGTTTTTATGACCCCCAACACAATAACCAATGTAACCCTAGATTACCTCCCAGGAAAAATAAATCCTCTGCAGACATTGAATTTCTAAGCTATTTTATAACATTGCATGAGAAAACAAAAAAATCTAGAAAATTTCACAAAAAAGAAATCTTTGGCAAATCTCAAATTTCTGAGCTATTCTCTAGGTAATGCTATGGAACTTCATTTTTATTTATGAGAACTGATTTTATTGTGCTTGACATAGAATTGAATTATTTTAATTACCATATAAAAAGTTAATAAGAAAATATGTAATATTTCTCAAGAAAAAACAAATGTAATATTGCTATGTAATGTTCAACGAGGAAGTTAGGTATGTGGACTGCATTTGTAGCCTATGGTCCACATGACTAGCCTAACATTGTCCTTCCACATCTATACATCTATAGATGGTGGAGATGAGCTTTTTTACTTTTAAGTGCGGAATGAGAACAATGGCATCATCTCAACCGTTTATTGATAAGGATTGACATTGGTTAGGTAGGCTAGAGAGTATAGAGCATGTATACTTCGCTCATGCATATCCCTTAGGCAAATGACTGAAGAGTAAGTATTTTTTTATCTAAAAATTTGGGATCTACCGTAGAATAGAAAAAGCTAACAAAAACTTGGCAGCTATAATGACAAGTAATATAGATGGAATTCCTAGCGTCAGATTTTTATCTGGTGGTTCAAAATACATATCACTATTTGAATTTTAATCTTATTTCAAGAAATCGGATCGTAATGAATATAAAAAAATAGTTTTCAAAATATAAAATGACCAAAATATCCTTAACAAATGAGGTAATTTTGGTCATTTAAAATTCTTAAATGTATCTTTTTAATATTTTTATATGGTGCGCAATAGTATCAAGTATATATGCCCATTATTTCTTCTCAATCTTATTTATAAAAAAAGATTAAAATTTAGATAGTGATACATATTTTAAACCTCTTGATGAATATCTGACGGTTGGGATTTCACCTATATTACTATTCATTATAACTGCCAAGTGTTTGGAAGCTTTACTCTTATAGAATCACACATGAGTATTTTTAAATAAATAAGAAATGAATTTTAAGTCCTTCGACACTTAGATTAGATTCCAATATATTTTTCAATCTAAGTTTAGTCCTAGAACAATAATTTTGTGAGGTATTAGATGTAGAGAGTGAATGATTTGCTTCTCTATTTTTAATTTTTTTTTTTGTGGAGAGAGAGGGATACTAAAAATATATAGAGGAGAGAGAGATTCTAAAAATATATTATTATTTTTTTTAATTTTAAAAGATAGGGAGGTATTCATGGCGCAATTTGGATCGAAATCCAATGGTGATATGTTGGAGTCCCATCTTTGTAGGTGTGGGAGTGTCTTATAAGATCATTACTCATATATACATTAAATTTATTATTTTTATAATTTCTACACCTTGGTTTGAGTCCAGGTCACTTGGACCTTACCTGGATCCAGGTATATATACAATAAATTTTTTATTTTTAAAATTTCTACACCTTAATTCGGGTCCCAGTCATTTGGACTTGACCCCGTCCGGTCCAATCCATATAAAACTTAGTCAGAGTGGATTTGGATTGGGGTCAACCGAAAACCCATCGCCATCCTTAGCATGTATACTAAGTTGTACCTCCTTCCTCATATTATTGGTTTCAAGGTGAGGCTCCTCCAGTAACAGTGCTCGCCGGAGGCGGGATTCGGCAAAGGTTGCAGCCTCACGCATGATGTGGGATTCAAAAGGAAACCCGGTTTGAGAACATCTGTACAAATTCAAGAGTGCTGCAATGCCTTCATAGTTTTCAATTGAAAAGGAACCAGCCTCTCCACCTTTTTCCAATAACTCCTTAACAACATCTGCATATTAGAAAGCATAAGACATTTTATATGAATAATCGTACTAGCTTCAGAGAGAGAGAAAAAGAGAGAGACCTGCTGACACCTGATAGCCATGGAGCCTAAGCAAGCGAAACCCCAAACCAGTGAGCTCCACACTACCCAATCCCAATTCTTGATCCCATTGCCTGTAGACCATTAACAAGATTTCATTGTTGAAGTAGAAGCAGTGTTCTGAAACACGACTTAGCCGAGTCTAAGTAACTCGCCCGAGTCACATATATTCTAAAAAAAATAAAGAAAAGAAATGTTAAATAAATATAACATGGCAAATATAAGAAAATTGGCGAAATGGTATGTTGCCTTGTACTTGAGAAAAAAAAAAAAGCGAGCAAAATGCGGATGGGCGCAAGAACAAGCAAATGTTGATCACTTCACCTATAAAGGGAGTGCATAATTTCCTTAACCTGCTCTTTGAAAAACCTCTCTATCCCCAGCCTTTGGATCATGTCGACTGCTTTCAATTTCTGATGTATACACCTCCCCTTCTCCCCTTCAATATACGATGCTATTTCCTCTTTGATTTCTTTCACAAGATTATCCATGTTCTCTTCCTCACGCACCTGAATTTCCAATCATTGAAGCACACGTGTGAGGCCTTAGCCGGTCGGAAATTTTCCAAATGTGTTATTACATAGGTAATTTGTACATCTTCCTTGGTTTGGATGGTTCATTTGAATTCAAATATCATTTATATGGGAAATGCCAGTCATCCAAGCTTAAAGGGCAGTTTCTACTAGGTTTGGATAGATTGTGTTGCTAGGTTCGGATAATGAGTATCCTAAATCTCTCTCCCCTTATGAAATAGGACTCCCTCCTTTCATTTGAATTCAAATATAATTTATATGGAAAATGCCAATCATCCAAGCCTAAAGGGTGGTTTCTACTAGGTTTGGATAGATTGTGTTGCAAGGTTCGGATAAAGAGTATCCAACATCTCTCTCCCCTTATGAAGTAGGACTCCCTCCTTTACGCGTAAAAACAGGTACCCATTGGTAGTGGGTTTATCGTAGGTCAGGTTTGTT